CTGCTTTTAGCATAGTATGATATGGGTTGCTTTCACTTGAAATTTTTAAATCAATATTGTTTTGGGGAGCTTGGAAACATTGTCCTTAATAGTACTGAGTGTGCTATGGAAATTAAATATACAGTTTCCAGACAGACTACCTCCCCAGTGGGTACAGCTGAGATTATCACCTCACATTCATGAGGTAGAAAGACAACTGGAAATTGCCCTGTTTTCTTGTTTTCTTGTCTGTATCTTCCCTAGATATACTGGTTTGAATGAGAATGCCCCGCATAGGCTCAATATTTGCACATTAGTTTCCAGTTGATGAGCTGTCAAGGAAGGGTTAGCAGTGAAGGGAACCATCAACGACAGAAAGCTGATGCATATGTAATTGAACTAGGGGGCCAGGAACTCCAGCAAGCAGTTTCCTTGTCAACTTTGGTCAAGCTGTCTGGCTCTAGAGTAAACGATGCAGGAGAAGTAAAGGTGTTGTGGAATCTTTTATGCTGTTAAGGAAAGCTGCTGAGGCCAGGCTTTTGGCAGGGAGAGGCACTGCATGGAAAGGCCTCTAGAAGCCACGGAGTGAAGCTGTAGCCTGGATTGTATTGGAAACCCCAGATGTTGGAGATGCCAGAGTCATAGGATACTTGCCAAAGAGAGCTGCTAACAGAGTGGAACTAGCCCAAGAAGCAGAAGTGTGTTGTAGTCAACACAGCAAGAAATTGGAGATCCAAAGAATGTTTTAATGTTAAGACATAGATGCAGAATTTGGAGTTTTCCCTGCTAGGTTTTGTCTTGCTTTGGTCCAGCATTTCCTCACTATGCACCCCTTTCTCCTTTTTGGAATGGTAATGTATATCCTCTGACATTGTATGCTGAAAGTCTGTGGTCTGCTTTTAGATTTTACAGGGCATTGCAGTTAAAGAGATCACCTTGAGTCTCAGAAGAGACTTTGGACTCTTAGTCTTAAGACTGAAAGACTATGGAGACGTTTGAAGTTGGACTCAATGCATTTTACATTATGAAATGACTACATGCTTATGGATGCCAGGGAGTGGAATGTAGTAGACTGAATGAGAATGGCTCCTAAAGGCTCATACATTTGCATGCTTACTAGTCCCCAGCTGATGAACTGTTTGGAAAAGATTAGAAGGTGTGGCCTTGTTGGAGCACATAGGAGGAGACTGTCCATTCATTTCCTGGCCACTCAGACCCGAATAATCACACAGAAACTATATTAATTAAAACACCGCTTGACCTATTAGCTCAGGATGCTTATTAACTAACTCTTACATCTTAAATTAATCCGTTTCTATTATTCTGTGTATTGCCACAAGGCTGTGGCTTACCGGGTAAAGTTCTGGCATCTGTCTCCTTTGGCAGCTACATAGCATCTCCCTTACTCCACCTTCTATTTTTCCTCTATCTCTGCTTGGAATTCCCACCTTGCTCTATTCTTCCCTGTCATAGGCCCAAGAAGCTTCTTTATTCACTAACCAATAAAAGCAATATATATACAGAAGGACTTCCCATATCAGGAGGAGGTGTGTTCTTATTGGAGGAGGAGGGTTACTAGGTGAGGGCTTTGAGATTTCAAAGATCTCCCTCTCTCTCTCTCTCTCTCTCTCTCTCTCTCTCTCTCTCTCTGCCTGTTACCCATGGATTGGGATGTAAAAATCTCAGCTACTGCTCCAGCATGTAAAATTCTCAGCTGATGCCTGCCTGTCTGCTGTCATGCTTCATGACAATAGAAAAGAAACGAAGACATTAGTCTATTTTTGTCATATACAATAGTCAAAGTTTTTAGATTTCATGATCTGGGCAGGGACTGGAAAATGTATATCTACTACTCCTTGATGGACACATGTTGGCTTCAAGTACAAAAGCGGATCCCTTATTCAGACTCTGAGCATGCAGAGGAATTTATGCAACAATGGCATCATCACATCTTCTAGAGACTCAGATTTTCCATTGGGTCCTAGACATGACAAAGTAGACTCACGTCCACACACCCGGATATCTACACTATGCACAGTATGTATGCTTGGATTGTGCATCTCCAGCCATTATACCACCATGGATGACTGGTATAGATAGAGAGGGAGGGAAGAAGGGCGAATAGGGAAAGTTATGAAGTCCATCAGCAACAGAAGTGGGCAATCTTTGAGGTTCAGCTCCCTAAAGTGTGCCTGTCACAATGTCCTTGTGAAGTTCAATCGTCGACTAATAGGAACAGCTTGTTGGAAGAATGGCCTCACAGGCAGGCAGTAGTTCTACCACTGTGGTAGTGTTCTCACCTCATGTCCTTCCTAGAGCAGACGGTTCTTCCAGTGCGGCTTCCCTCTTCTCCCAGTGTTCTACTTTCTAATCTCAAAACTATCCTTCCTCTGAGTTATAAGAATCCAGGCTTTCCCAAAACACTAATCTTTTTTCAGGTTACATCATCCATGAAAATATCCTAATCTTTATTTAGTTCCGATGCTGAAAAGTTCCGTTATTTTTCCTCATAACTGAAAACATGCCTTAAATCATTTGGGTGGCCCAGAGTAAATATTTGGCTAATTACTTACTTGGAGAAAGTTTCTTCTCTATTCTTCAATTGCCAAAACTTTTTTATTGAAACCATTAGATCTATTCTTTCCTCTCCACACTGCACACTTAAGCATGAAACATCTCTAGAGAACACACAACAGATGTTACAAATATAATCATCACAGGTCATATTACAACACTTTGGTCACTAAGTATATACATCAGGGATGCCAAGGCCACCTACCACAAAGCATTGCTCATTTGTTTGTGGTGGTGCTGGGCAAGCCTACTGTAGCACCAGTCAAACGGAAGGACAGCACAGGCCTGGGGATATGCTCAGTGGCAGAGTGCTGCATTTGATTACCGGGAGCACACAAAGGTCAGGATACTTAATAATGATAATAAATGTCACTGCCTTATTTAGTCAAAATACTGTGTTTTCATCAATAATGAGTATTACTTTTATTTATAGGAAACTTTTTAGTTTGAAGCAGCATGCCCCATTACATGGGCAGCAGGCTCCTAGGCCTTGGGTTTATGTGGTAGTCCTGACTGCAGCAGGGGGCCAAGTTCAGTGATGACTCAAGCCACTTAGCTTTGTGTGATGTTATGATGCTCATGAGATGGCAGAATCATCCATAATGCATTTTTCAGAATGCAGTGCCACAAGAGAAGACTACTTGGCTAAAATAAAACTTCCTTGATTTATGCAAAGAAAAAGAAAAACCAGGAATAGAATTTATGAATGAATGTTCCTATTCACAGAGACCAGAGGAAAGACTGATGAAGATGAGATGGGGGAAATGTGAAAATCTTATTTCTACAGCGTAATAGATATGTCCCCAAGTTGGAAACTTGTAGTCTCAGGTTGTAATGAAGAGGTCACCCTGAACAAGTCATGATATTACCCCTGGTAGTCAATGATATTTCAGAAGAAATTTCACATTGTATTTATGTTCTGTTAAACAAAATAGATTTAATATATTTCATCAAAATTTATTAAACAATAAATACAACATTGAGAACATTCATTTGCATGAAAGTTCTTAGAGCTGCCTGGTTATAGAACAGTGGGACACTATCCAGCATGACACCCATTCAGTGACATGAATGAACACTGGCAGATATAACAAAACTCTTCCACGAAGAGTTGACAGGTGGCACACACAGAAGCAAAGGTTGAACTATACCAAAAAGCTTTGTCCACATGCTTCACAAATGTCATGCAGTCAAGTTTATGAACATGTTCGTTCCATTTGGTAATGTAGTTGTGAGAACTAACATTTGACACTTCACTGAGGGATTCAGCACTGTCCAAAGAAGTTGGATGGTGCAAGGAAACTGTGGGCTGTGTATGCATGCAAGGCCTAGGCCATTTGCCCAGGTACATGTCTTTCATCTGGAAGCAGGTGAATGTACTAGTCACTTGAAGAACATACAACCACAAAGCCAAGGTTGTTGGAATATCACAAAATGATTAAGTTGAAGCTAGAAAAGAAACAAAATTACAAATTATTGTACCTACCTTATATTCATGAGAATTTTGCATATTTCCACTTTGTAATAGCTTTGTAAGAAAAATGAGGAAGCCCACCCTCTCACTGATGCCTCCCCAGCTCATGCTCTGGTCTAAAATACACTTTCCTTATACCACTCTTGCCTCATTCTCTTACTTACAAAAGTCTAATTGTCTTTCGTAAGGTCGGCCCTCCCTCTATTACTTCCCAAATCTCAGAAAACTGATGAAACCTCCCCCTGTGTGTGAATTGGGGCCATGTGGTTGGGAAACCAGAGGCAACTAAAAAGAAAGGGGAAGGAAGAGACGATATGATCAGTGTAAAAATATAGACTAGTAATGTGTCTATGGAATAGTTGAAAATGTCAGAGGTCATGGGTAGGATATAAATAGCAGCTAAGGCTAGAAAAACAGTGAGTTGTTGGGAAGTGAATACAAGAAGGAATAACAGGACGAGTAACTGCTCCTAGGGCAGCAAGGGGAACAACTTAACATGAACAGAAAATGCAGTCAAAGTGTAGAGTGAGAACCATGACATAGACTGTAGCACACTGAGAGAGGAGTAGTGAGGTCGGGTCACATATGATAGTACATCCAAGAGGAAGAGAATGAAGCAGAGCAGAGTCATATGCAACAAGAAAAACTGCACGCTCACGTATGTTTATATATGTATATGCACATGTACACACATATACAGACATATATGTGCATATACATGCACATGATACCCATGTATCATGGAGAGAGTAGTTTCAAGGGCATGATAGAGAAGGGGCTTAAGTGAAAATTTAAATGTTAAAAAATGTTTAAAGAGGTGTGCTATGTGCCATTTCTGGGTTAAGGAAGGAAGTAGGTTGGAAGTGACAATGGGGATGTGCCAAAGGTTAGAGAAAGCAGGATACTAAGTGAGGAAAAGATCTGATCAGTTATCTCAATGGATTCTCACCAGAGAAGACAGGAAGATTCACATTCATCTTGTACTAACTCCAATCTAGAAACAACGTAAGAAAAGTTCAAGTTGACCTGTAACACTTATTTTTTGTTAACAAATACATATTATGAGATAAAATTATAATATATGTTTGCAACATATTAGCTTTATTAAACAGTATGTGATATAGTTCAAAACTCAAGGTATAATAACAAATGTCAAAAATAGATTTTATTTATGTTATTTTGTAAAGCCTGGCGTATTAAGTTAGCAAATAATTTTTACCAGATGACTTTGGATTCACAGAAGGCTAGATTCAAAAGACTGCCAAGTTAAAAGCACACAGTGGGCAGAACATTGCCCAGTTTCTCTGCACATTGCTGTTCAAACAGCTTTTCCTTTGAGAAACTTTGACTCTGTTCCTTCTTCCTACTGCCTCATGACATAACCTCATTCTGATTGGACAAGATAGAGTGAACTGAAGTACCCGAGTATGCTGCCCCTGCAAGCAACGTGCAGCGCGCTATGACTGCTAACAGTTGTGCCTTTTATCCAATACTGTATTACTTACAAACATTCTATTACTGTTTTATTAAAACATTAAAAGTTGTCACTAAGTATTGAGACTTCATGGAAGCACTCATTGTGACAGGACATATTCTATATTGGAAGAAATGGAAACAACCATTTTGACTTATCAATTAATTATTAGTTATGCTAATTTTGTTCCCGCTAATATTTTGAAAGTCAAGAACTTCCTTTGTAAACTTTTTGAAATCTCATCAGTTTACCTTGTGTATTTGTGTCTATGTGCGTGTGTGTGTGCGCATACGTGCTTGCACACATGCTGGGGAAGGTGGCATGTAAATGGCAGTCCAAGGACCACTTGTGTTGCTATTCACTTTGCACATGTGGTTCCTGGGGACTGACCTCAGGTCATCAAGCCTGCTGGTAAGCACCTGTACCTGCTGATCCAGACTGCCATTCTAAAAACCTGCAACTTTTCATGATTTTACCATAATAACCGTTACTAAACTCTGATGCAGCTTTAGGACAAGATTCAATTCATGAGTTGCTTTATAGGAGTGAAATTGTGCCAAGGGCAGACTTTGTTATATGAGGTACACTGGAATGCAGCATCCACGGAAAGGAAATGGCAAGAAGTTGGATGGAAGGTGTAGTTTTATATTACAGTTAACATGCTCTCCACCAGTATGGGTGTTTTGTAATTTGTGTTTAAAGACTAACATCCAAATATACATTGAATGGACACGTGTGTTCTTTGCTATGTAATTCCAGCCAGTGCTTGTCTTCTGCACCCTCACACCCACACTCAGGGTCTACCCTACATCCGTCTGAGTATGTTTTTAACTGTTCCTAGATTTTAATATTGGCAGTTAGGAAATCTAATGCAATACAAGGTGAGATACAATGTTTATATAACTTCAATTTTTTTACAAAATTTAAAATGTGCTAACTTACTTCACTAGATAATTTTTGGCACTTCAGTCTGTGTCTGTAGTTTTCATTTTCTGCAATCATTCTGGAAATGACTTTGCTAACTTTTTTCCACGCTAAGACCTTGAAAAGATAAACAGCGTTAAGAAACACTGGGCACAAGTGTTTTACCTTTGATGGAGGTAACCGAGAGTGACTGCTGGCCTGTGTGTTTGTCAGTGTTATTAGTGTGAAGCAATACACAGAGGACCATTAAGTCCATGACCCCAGGGGTCACTAACTTGTCTGACCTCTTCCTGTAGTGTTTAAACCACCTCTCCCGGATGATGCTACCTTTGAAAAAAAAAAAAAAAAAAAAAAACAAGCCGGGCGGTGGTGGCGCACGCCTTTAATCCCAGCACTTGGGAGGCAGAGGCAGGCGGATCTCTGTGAGTTCGAGACCAGCCTGGTCTACAAGAGCTAGTTCCGGCACAGGCACCAAAGCTACAGAGAAACCCTGTCTCAAAAAAAAAAAAAAAAAAGAAAAGAAAAGCCAAAAACAATGTCTGCAAAATCTTGCTAAGTGGGTCCAGCACATCCAATTTTCAAAAGGTACTAAAAATACTGAATTTCTATTCCTGTTTATGCTTCGTTTATAATGTATTTTATTCTAGGTAAGAATTAACTAGTTCTCCTAGGAGCTAGCCAGACAAAGTTGCTAGAGATTATGAACATACTACAATAGAAAAAAAACCCTATAAAATCAAATATCTACATATAGACTTTTTTTTTTTGCTACTTAGCAGTTTGACATTTGACAAGCATTTAAATGTCATCTAGAAGCATCTCTATGTTCTGAGCAATGGGACGAAGAGTTTGCATGTAAATCCCTTACCCCAGGGCACAGCACATGATGTTTAGAGGTAAGCACTGGCCGTGTTCCTATCTCCTCACCCAAAGGAAAATGGCTTTTGAAGGAAGCAGGTCTCAGTGCAGGGGAAGACTGCAGTTTACTTCAGATATATCCGGTATAAGTGTTAGTTACTCTGAGTACTGTTTTAGACCGTGCATGGGCTATACACCAAACACGCAGGAATTTATGTGACATGCTCAACTAATAAATTCTTTGAAGTAAAATGGCAAGCATAGATGAGCACAGCACTTCTCTGAAGTATGTTCAAAATGCCCGAGTTACCATGACGTTTGGCAACCAGTGGTGAGAAGGGTTCAGCAATAAAGTTCATCTTTGTCATCTTCCTGCCTAAAAAGTCACATATGTTCTTTGCTTTGGAAAGAGCAATGTGACACCAGTGTAGATATATTCTTTCCTATGAAGCCTGTGATCTTCTTCCTATGCTGCTTTATATATAGCAGTTAGCAATACTCTGTGGAACATAGGTTATGCTTTGAAAGAAATATCTTGGCAGGTTATCTTTTCATTAAAATGCATTTTATACCTTCAAATATCAGAACTATTTTTCATAGTTAATAAATATTTCCAAGCTCAATGTCATTTTTGGGCAAGTTTCTTCCATTTCTTCATTTCAGAAAATTAAGTAATGAAAGAGATGGACTTTCTTTCACTGTCTTGGAACCTTTGTACACTGTATTCACAGAGGGAGGTCTAAACCTTAAACACTGTTAATTCTCCTTTAGAGCAGCATACCTTTTTCATTTCCTTCATTGTTTTGGAGGACTCATTCAGTGGTATGGGGAAATCAAACTCTTCAGCTGCAGTTTTCTGCTTTAAACCTATTTTTTTAAAGAAAAGAAAGATATCAAAATTAATACATATTGTAAAAAGCACTATCCTGAAAACAGAGGTCATAGCAATGTCTCTGAAGCTCTCTGGGGGGTGTTTAGACTTGGTGCTCTGTCTCTGTTGACTCTATGGAGTCCCTTCTATCTGCTGCCTTTGCCTTCAGCACACCTACCTTAATTCTCCCACTTCACTCCTGACCACCCTCTATACCTGGCTTTCCTTTGCACATTCAACAGCTTTCCAGGGAACATTCTTGGATCCTACAAACCATGATGGGTTGTCACAGAACTTCACAGTTTGCTTGAGAAGTGTCTTTTCCTCTGGCAATCCAGTTCTAGTTTGTAGATAGTCGGTGGATAACACATTACATTTGTTGAATGAACGGAAATGTGTTCCCAAATGGCATTTACTAATTTGAGAGGCATATGCCACTGATTCTGGGTGGGACACAGACATGAGATGAAGGATCTTGGTTAAGTCACATTGTGAGAAACTCATTCCCTTGCCAACTCTTCCAATCTTCCAGGAACAGAGGAAGCCTGAGTTTGTTCACGTGTAATTTAGAGATCTCCAAGACTTGATGCTTTTTCTTTATGACACAGATACCTTCTAGCAGGAAACCTATTTACTACAATTGAACAATATTGTTTTCCCATTATTAGCTTGTAATTATTTTCTCTTCTTAGCAAGCACACACACACACACAGTGTTCTAATGAAATTTAGATGAGGAGAAAATTACCTATTTAAATAAATACGCTAAGTAAACTAGCACACATGCAGATGTGGCATGAACACTCAAGTCTGACAAGTTCTGCTCAGATTTATCTTCCCCTTTGAATGCCACAACTTTCAAGCAGAATGTTGTCATCGTTTCCACTGTTTCCTACTAATAAGACTCACCTAATCTGTTCCTACACCCCTTAAAGTAAGACAGGGGCCATGAAGTCTATTAAAATCACAGCGAGAAGTAAAACACATGTGCACACGAAAAACATGTCTTTCATTTCTTCCTGTGCTGTGACTGGGCACCAGGGTATGCTACACCATGGATTTAATACCAACTTACGCTCCCAATCTTCCTCTGGTTCTTGTTGCCCACGCTCTGACCCTATCAAGCTGTACCTGTAGCTCTTCCCTGGTCACTGGCAATCGTCATCCATCCTCCACACTCTGCTCACACATTTCTCTACCTTCGTTATCCTCCAATTATTCACCGTCTCCAAAGTATCCATTGTACACCTCCACAATAGCACTCCTCATCTTTATTTATGACGCATGACTATCTCCCAAGCACAGTGACAGGGAACCAGGTTGACCTATTAGTCTTGCCTTAAACGTTAGCTTTGCCTGCTGCTTGTCCCTTGGCTTTCAAAGCACCAGCACGTCGGAGAATGGCTTACCAGCCTGACTTCATTAGGCACCTGTCTCTGGTGACATCATCCCACCATCAATCCCATCTTTAGGGGTTATAGACATGAAAATCACTCTACGATTTAATCAAAAACCTGTTTTTCATTCATTCAGTAAACGTTTAGTACATGTTGTTAGTCATTCTTGTTCCTCCAAGCCATCTGCTCACTGTGCCAACATTTACTGCGAGCTTATTCCATGCCAAACACCACATTAGGTGCACAGCACAAGCTGAGTTATTTAATCTTCACAGCGACCCCTTGAGGATGAAATCATTATCCACACTTGAAATGTGATAAATTTTTAGAATCAGGCCGGATAACTAAAATGGCAATATTATATTTCCAGTAATTAACAGAGCTATGGTTGTCTTTCTGACTTCAAAGCCAGAGCTCTTGATCATCTCTATTGTCCCACCAAAAATGTCTCCATTTCTCTCCTCTTGATTTCCTGTCTTGTGCCTCTTTCTGTTTCTGAACTTGATCAGGTCTCTTTCTTTCAGCACTCACACCTGCTAACTTAAATACCCATATTCACACGTGAGTACAGAACAGTCACCTGATATTGCCATTAGCATTTGACTGATTGTTTACAACATGGTAGATGCTAAATAGATGAATATTCATTTTTAGTTCCCACGGACTTCTAACAAATGTCTATTTAATATGAAATACAACCAAGACTGAGTAAACCTAAGTACTTTATACTCTTTGGCTTAGCCCACGTGCACGTCTCTCTCAAGGCCTCCTTTCCTTGAATACATTCCTGGTTTTACAATCTCAGCAAGGAGGTTATGGAAGTTAATAACTTTGCTCTTCACACAGTGGCCCAGTACAGATATATCAGCCACAGCCTCAACTATTCCCTCTCTCTTTCAATCAGTTATCAGGTCTGTCTATTTACCTCTACAGCTTCAGTCCTGAACTTTCAATTTCTACTGGACTACTATCACTGCCTTGAAGCTGTTTTCCAGCCTCTTATCAGCTGTAAAGCCAAACTAAATTCATCCTGTATCTGAGAATACTAAATAAATAAATAACAAGGCATATCAGAACATGAAGTGCAGAGAAGATATTTAAGTATGTAATCCAAAGGACCAAATCCCACACAGGGTACCAAGCAAGCAGTTGAATGGAACAGACTTGGGTGAAAAGGGAAACCGGGATTCTTAAGGAAAATCTTTCTGGCATGGTTTCTGGAAGAGGGGAGAGGGAATGGTCATAAGCTGAGTTACAAAGGAAACACTGCTAACACGTAAGACAGTGGAGATACTAGGAATACCATTATCTGATAACAATGCAATAAAACGGAAATCACTAACAAAACCAAAGGAATAGGAAGGTCTCAGAATTTCAAACCTTTAAAATATATTAAACTGTATCAGTGTCACATGAATGTGCAGAATGAAATTATAGAACATTTTAAAAATCAACAGTGGGATATTACATATTGATATGTGTGGGTGGTACTAAAAGTGGTTAAAACAAATTCGCCATACTAAATGCTTCCAGATTTTAAAAAGTAAATGAAATGCCTGATTTTCAATCTACATATTCAACACAATCCTGATAAAAATTTCAATGATATTCTTCATAGAAGTAGAAAACAACAATATTAAAACTCATTTGAAAGCACAAAGTATCCAGAAGAGGCAAAGCAATTCTGAATAAAAAGAATAATGCTGATGCTATCAATATGCTTAATGTTGAATCACATGACAGTCACAGTAACAAACACCATGGTCCTGAGGACATGTAAAATGATGGACAGAACAGGGAGTCCAGCTAGAAACCAGCACAACTAGTCACCGAGTTCTGACAAAGACAGACAAAACAGCATTGGAGAAAAGACAGCCTCACCTACAAATAGTGGAATGGAAAGCTCACATGCAGAAGAAAGAAACTAGTCTCCATTTCTTATCCTATACAAAAAAACAAAACAAAACAAAAAAACAAAAACAAAAAACCACTTTGAATGGGGGAAAGAACCTTAATATAAAATCTGAAACTGGAAAAAGTAGACAACATACTTCAAGATATAAGTAAGGAAAGGACTTTCTGTGTAGGATCCCAGTTGCCAAGGGAATAAGGTCAACAATCAACAAATGGGATCTCACAAAAAGAAAAATCTGTGTAACAAAGCGAACAGTTGAGGCCACAGACTAGAGAAATATTTGTTGGCTATACATCTGAGAGGATTAGTCAGTGGAATAAACAAAGAGCTAAAAAACTGATCAATAAGAAAGCAACCCCACCCCTCACCCCGCAAATGAAATAATGAAAGGAATAGACAATTTGGAAAGGAGGAAACAAATCATCAATAAATACATGAAAAACTGCTGAACCTCACTAGTCATTGGAGAAGTTCCAACTAAAATCACATTGATATATATTGCCTTAGTCTGAATGTCAGTCATTAAGGAAGCAACACGGTTGACAAGGTGTGGTTTAGAAAGTAAAAACTCCCTGCCACCAAGCCTGACGAACTGAGTTTGATCCCTGGAGCCCACATGGCAGGAGAGAACCGACTCCCACAAGTTGTTTCCTAATGCACACACATGATATGCTGATACACACATGCAATAGGTAGATGGATGGATAATTTTAACAAAAATTTAAGAGGAAAACAACAATAAATTCTGGTATAGATGTGGACAAATTAAACATCTGGGGGGAATGTAAACTAGTCCAAATTCTACAGAAATCATTATGGAGGATTCTCAAAAAAATCTAAAAAATAGGTCTATTACATACCCCAGTTATATCACTCCTGAGTATTTACCCAAAAGACCCAGGTCAACATATCATGGATATACTTGAAGATCAATATTTATGCAAAAGCTATGTTTTGGAAAAAACCTTGGAGTCCAGCAACAGATTTTTTTATCCATAAAGAAGAATGAAGTTTCATTGTTTTCAGGGAAATGAATTCAACTGGACTCAATCATATTAAGCAAATTAGGCTTGTCTCAGAAAGACAAATATTACATGCTTTCATCCATTCCTAGATTTTACATAGTCACATAAAATCATGTGTATATAGTTTAAATGAAAATAAGTGAAATTGTCTAAGGGAGTAAATGAAGGGTTGAAAGAAGGGAATTGGGTAAGGGGTTGGGGGTATATTCAATATACAATCTATCTATAAGAAGAAACTGAAATGTATTTTGAAATTATTAAAAAATAAATGTCCAATTTTTAGTATAAAAAAGTCTACCAAAAGAAAGCACAGAGAAAACAATAAGGTTAAGAAGTTGATATTAATGAGGAAGAAACAAGAAAAAATGCTTAAGCTGGCGGTGGTGGCACATGCCTTTAATCTCAGCACTCGGGAAGCAGAGGCAGGCAGATCTCTGTGAGTTCAAGGCCAGCCTGGTCTACAGAGTGAGTTCCAGGACTGCCAGGGCTACACAGAGAAACCCTGTCTCGAAAAACAAAACAAAAATGCTTAAGTAATAAATCAAAATCTTGTTTTAAAAATAAAATGCTAATGTCATTAGTACAAAGCGAGAAAGTACATGTCTACATACATAAAACAGAAACAAATTGTGAAGAAGGAATGACCGATAAAGCTGGGTAAACTTTAAGTACATTAGCTGCAGGCCTCAGCAGAAACACATGTAGAAACCTGGATGAAGTGTGTAATTGCTTAAGGAAATGCATGCTACCAAAAATTAACATCTCAGAGTCAGAAACTGTAAACAGACCAGTTTCCATGGCATAGAGAAAATTAAGAAATTATCCCACAAAACATGAGGCCCAGATGGTTTTGCAGAAGAATTTTATCAAGCCTACATAGTTCCACTGTTCCACAAACTATTCCAGAACATAGAAAGGGAAGAAAGATTCCCAGTTACTTGTATGAAGTAAGTATAACTCTGATATCAAAATCAAGTAAAGAAATACACAGAAAAAATACAGGTCACTATATCTCATGAACATCATTAGAAAAATTCTAAGCAACTTACTATTAGAGCTTGCCACTATATGAAAAAATAATCTAACACAGCAAGTGAAATCTATTTCAACACTGTATAAGGTTGGTTCAGTATTTAAAAACACATACACACACACACACATATATCACTACACATTACTATAAGGACAATATTATCACCACAAATTATAGTAAGTCTTTGACAAAATTTAAAGTCTATTCATAATAAATAAAAAATATTGAAGATAATAAAAGTAGATATACCTTTTCATACTCTAAATATACAGTCTTAGTTCTAAAACCAGTACTTTATTTAATGGAGAAACGTTAGAGGCATTTCTCCTAAGAATAAGAACAAGGTACGGGGTCGACTATCTCTACAACTATTTACCCTGCACAAGAGGTATTAGCCAGAATAATTAGACAAAGATTATTGTAGACATAAAATGAATAAAATAAATTATCTCTATTTACAAATGACACATACCAGCTGGGCCTGGTGGTGCACACCTTTAATCTCAGTACTTGGGAGGCAAAGGAAGGTAGATCTCTGTGAGTTCAAAGCCAGCTGGAAATACATAGTGAGACCCTGTCTCTAAAAATGAATTCACAAGTAATATATACCTGGAAAATATATGAGGATCAGTGATGGAACTATCTATAATAATAAAAGTGGTTGGTGAATTAATAGGATCTAAAGTTAACATGCAAAATTGAATAGGCCTAAGGAAGAGAAGTCAGTCACAAAAGCTCACATATAAAGACTCCATTTAGATAGGTTCAAAATAAGTAAATCTAATGGAGACAATGTAGATTAATATTTGCTTAGGCTAAGATTACTGGGTAGTGGAGGCAAAGGTGATGGGATATGATGCTTGCTGTGGCTGCAGTTTTTCTGTGACAGAACAAACACGCTAGAATGGGGAGTTATGTCCATAACTCTGGATGTTGTCAGAACCAGTAAGTTGTGTACTGTAAATTGGTGATTGTATACATTGTTAATGAAATCTCAATAAACTTGTTTTTAAAAGTGTAGGTGTGCTGGGCATGGTGACACATGCTCTTAATCCCAGAGTTTGGGAGGCAGAGGTAGACAGATCTCTGAGTTCGAAGCCACCCTAGTCAACAGAGTAAGTTCCAGAACAGCCAGGGCTGTTACACAGAGAAACCTTGTTTCAAAAAACCAATAACCAAAACAAACAAACAAACAAACAAAAAGCCCCAAAGTCCCAAACAAACCAAACAAACTAAAAAAATCAAGTATAATTGTAAAGCTGAACCCTCAAAGGAGACGAGCTTTTGGAAATGACTACAATGTTTTATACCTTGGCTGTGAAGTATGAAATATGTAATTTTGCAAACCTCTTCAAAACACACAAAAACTAATCCTTGCTAAAGATTTTAAATGATAGACTTTGCATACATTTCTAATGCATTATGTAGTAAGTAACTCCACTTACAATAGGAAAGATTAAATACCAGGGAATAAATTTACCTAGATTTATGCAAAATCTATAATGAATAATTTTGTTTTGAGATATGGTTTCTCTGGTGAGCCCTGGCTGTTCTGGAACTCTCTATGTAGACCAGGCTGGCTTCAAACTTAGAAATCCCGTCTTAGCCTCCTTAATACTGGGATTAAAAGCATGGGCCACCACGTGAATGCATTTTTATTTGTTATTTATTTAAAACATTCCCGAAGGAATTCAAAAGTAGATTGAACAAACAGAACTACATCTTCTGTGTTTTAAAAGGATTTAACATTTCCCAAGATTTTATATTATATATAAATTATATAAATATATATTATATAAGCATATACTTATATATTTATATATTATATAAATATAATATATATAAATCAAGTAATTAGGAATTTATATTTTTTATTGTATGTGAATGGGCATTTTGTTTATGTACCACCTAGATGCCTGATACCCAAGGAGACCAGAAGAGGGCGTCAAATTCCCTGGAACTGGAGTTATAAGGTGCCAGGTGGGTGTTAGGGACAAAATCTGGGTCACCTGGAAGAGTAGACAGCGCTATTAACTCATTGGGCCATCTCTCCAGCTCATGTAACTAGCAATTTCAATAATGTTCAGTGAGAATAACTAAGCATGCCAAACTCCCACTTCTCTGAGGTATTGAAGTAGCTACATCCAAGAACTTCTCTCAGGTTTCTGGGCTATCTTAAATGTCCTACAGCCCTTTTTCAGGCCACCCATTAAGTAAGTTAGAGGGATTCTCCTAGTCCATGGCTCCAAGACAGACTGAGGGGGGCTGCCTGGCTGCCTACTGACTGGAATGTATGTGACGACTGACAGGAAGGCTAACAGGAAGACTGACATAAGGGGAGACTGGAAGGAGGGCTGACAGGCGGCCTGATTGACTGAGGGCCGCATTCACAAGATGGCAGCACAGCTGCCCACAGCACCAGCCCTGACAGGAGGGTCCCGCCACCTGCTCGCGCCGCTTGCTCCAGGCCCCTGGGCGTTGTCGGCGCTCTCGACCTCCGCAGCTGGAAAGAGGTGGAGTCGGGGATGGTGGCGACCGGGGCCTGGGTGCCGGTTGGCAGCTCTCGTCCCGGGGGCCCACTCTCCACGGCCGCTCCCTCCATGGCGGAGCAGGCCCCGAGTCCTGGGCCTTGATGACAGAGACCTCGGGGGCCCCTCAACTGCCACACGCCACCGCGGTGCGAGGCGAAGCGGGTCACGTAGATCAGGGGAGGCCCCTGCGGCCGTTGGTGGCTGCCGGCCGGAACCATGTCTGTCTTCTGCCAAGTAACAGACGCACCTCAGCTCCTACCCGGGCAGGACTGGGGTGTGTGTGTTTGGGGGGGGCAGGCACGTGCAGCAGGCGGGAGGGGGTGGGGAGACGTGGGAGCGGACCAATGAGAGCAGTGGGCGGGGCTTCCTAGAGCCCTCCCCATGGGGCGGGGCCTGGGAAATGGGGCCAGACCCCTGGAGGAGCCTGGTAGTGGGTTTGGGAAGTTGAGGAGTGGACCACTGAATAGCTGGGAGACCGGGCTCCAGGTAAAGAAGGAATTAAGGAGAGGAGGGACGGTAGGCGGCTAGAAGGCAGGAGCCTAGGGAGGCCCTCTCTGCCCGAAGTTGGGAGGCAAGGAAAGTCATAGTGTAGAGGTTAACAGGAAGGTCCTTAGCGGGAAGGATGGTCTTTTCTATCAAGTACTATAAAACGTGTTTAGGATAAGGAATTAAAATATTTTATTGTAAGACTTTTATGCAGTGTAAAAGTTTTCCTCTCCACCCAGGAAAACTGATTTTCACAAATGCCCATGGCTCTATTCTAGGAATCTGATGGCTTGGAGCAGTGGCATTTTCTCTTTCCTCTTCTGTTTCCTATAAGCCAATTTTTTTCTTTTCTTTTTGTTTGTTTGCTGTTTTGTTTGTTTGTTTGCTTGTTTTTTTCCTAGATAGGGTCTCTCGGTGCAGCCCTGGCTCTCCTGGAATTCACTCCGCTGACCAGGCTGACCTTGAACTCAGAGACCCACCTGCCTCTGCCTCCTGAGTAAAGGCCACCACTGCAGGATTTACAAACCACTGCTTTTCAGACTAGCCACTCGAATACGGTTGTGAGGTCAGACCCCAGGCAATGAAGACAAGGCACAAGCATCACCTGAGTTAGAACTGAAACCAAGTGCACTTTCTATTTCAGAGTTCACTCTTCCTAGTGCACACTTGCTCGTGAGTAAAGTTTGCCTGGTCCAGACACGTTGGTTGGAGTAGTGATCTCTTTCTTGCTACTGCTAATCCCACCGGTCGAGAATAAGACCACTACCACCATCTTAAGTCAGATTTGAAGCAAGCTTTAGTTAAATACTGGCCAGAAATGTGGACTCTGGCCAGGACCACTCCTGGGTTCCCAGGAAATGGCCACAAGTCGTGTTTTGCAGGGACTTGAAAAGGAAAAACCCATAGAGTCACCGTGTTTCCCATCAGGTCTAGTCAGGGGCAAGCATATATCCTGACGCATTTCCTGCCCACGCTGCCTCCTGCCCACATGTGATCAAGCGCATGTAGTATAGATGGGTCAGACAGACAGGAACTCACTCTTAACTGCAAACAGAACTCTCAACCTGCAAGGCATAGGTTTCCCGTTTCGGTCTCATTCTACTTCAAACATATTTCTAACAGGAAGCAAACAATTAAGGGGAGAACTCCTCTGAGGAAATGAGCTAAACCGAGAAGAAGGTGAGAGACTGAAACCAGGTCAGCCTCATGGTTGGTTGGTTGTGTGGAGAATTTCAGTGTGAGGACCTAACACTGGATCTGTGTGGAGAATTAATCAGATAAAGCTGGAAGGCCTGGGGAGAAGACAACCCTTTACTGCCATAGGTAATGGCTCTAGTACTGGAGAGATACCCTACAGAGAGAACACAGACCTCACAGTTTACCTCAGTCCTGGGCTAGCTGCTGGCCACTTAGGCTTTTTCCAGCCAACCATTTTCCTTCCCTGAGCCTCTACCACAGTTATTTCCTCCCAATGGAAACGTGCTTCCATGAAGGTAGACACTGTAAGGCTCAGGAAGTAAAAGAAACTTACAAGACATTAGAAGTAAATCAAATCAAATCAAAGCTTCTGAACGTCACAAGCTTCCTAAAGCCTTTCCCCAAGGTTCTGTAAGCAGTTCGCAATTGCCAGGGAGGGAACTGTCCACCACTGGCTTGCCAGCAAGGTGGGCGGAGAGTCCAGGGGATGATGCTCTCCCCAGTCCAGGCTTTCCAGGTGGACTTTTTTTTTTATTGTGCATCTGTTTCTGAGTCATTGACGCTCATGTCAGTAACTTCTCATCAATACCTCTGTAAGTAAGCACAAGAAATTCATTGGCCCATTACGCTAGAATTGAATAGAATCTTTCTCCCCTGTCTTTATAGGTGCTTAGAGTGAGCAGATGTCTCTTTACATCTGCTAGGAAAAGTTATGCAATGTCTGCTTTTCCTTGCATGTAAGAATAAATCACAGCAGGGCATACTGAGGGACACATACAAAGAGGTCGTTCCTTAGATTGGAATGCCTTTTTCCATTTACTCAGCATAGAGCCTGTGAGGTGCATGCTGTAATTTATTTACATTTAAATTTTACTGATAGCTTTCCTTTTGCTGTTTCATGGCAAGGGAATGAGGATTACAAAATATGAAAGGGGAATCTCGAAGTAATAAATATATACATTCCAAATAACCCTGTTCTACTGAATTCTAAATCTGTGCAGAACAGGGCAAAAGAAAACATCGGTCGAAAGCTGGCTGGGTTTTCAGACACTCAGTGTCTTTCATTGTAATTAGTGTCTGTTCAGACCAATCAAGGGGCAATAAGGAAATACTTTGTATCCTTTCCCAATTTCAAGTGCCACTGGTTAGGGTTGTCCTTCATGTTTGACCTTTTTCACTCAAATTGTATTTGTGAGATTGTCATTGCATGATTTAGTATGTCATCCTTCATCCATTCCACTAGTAGGGACATTTGCTTCTGATTAGTGTCAGGAGCCATTTCAGGCTTCTCCTTTCTCACATCTTACAGGGCCTTGAGGTGGAAATCTTGAGACAGAAAACTTAAAGTTAACTAAGATGTTGTATACTGACCTTGGAGATTCAAGCTTCTGACCGCACCTCAGAGTGTCTTCTTTGTTTGCTGCTTATCACTAACAGCAGGTGTTCTAGCCACTGACCTTACTGCTGCCTGGCTTAGCTGCCTAGCTACCAAGCCCCTCTTTTCCTTCCCCCCTTTTCCCCTTCCTCAGTTCCCCCCTGCCCGAGCTCCTCACTGAGGAGTATATAAGACATAAAACTTGCTTCCATAAATGGGATGCCTTGACAAGGAATACTGCTTGGCGTCCATTTCTCTTTCCTCCCATGTCTTTCAGATAGTGCCTCTTCAAGACCCTGGAGTAACTTAGGAACTGCTGGGTGGGTCAATTTAGGACTAATGTTAAACGTGTATAGGAAAATACATCTTTTGTGAAACATACACTATCGGGTACATAGCCCGGTGTGGAAATACTTGGGACATTCGCATGCTCGGCTTTAGTAGCTGCTAATGAATAGGTATCCAGAAAAGGTTGTACCAACCGGCACTCCACCCTACAAGTGAGAAGAATCACAGTTGCTTCATACATGGTTCCTACAACGTCATATTGTCAGTCTTCTGAGAGGTGTTTGTATTGGTTTATCCAGAGAGACAGACTGTGTGTGTGTGTGTGTGTGTGTGTGTGTGTGTGTGTAAGAGGAAGAGGCAGGCCTAGAAGCAGAGACTGGTAGACAGGGCACACAGTAACAAAGTAGAGAGCCAGAAAAGGTTGATGCTCAGGATCCCATCTACAGGTCATCTGCTGGTAGAATTCCACTCCCCTTTCCCCGAGGGCAATCCTTTGCTATTAAGATGGTCAGCTGCTTGAATAAAACCTGCCCTCATTATAGAGAGTAATATGATTTGCCTGATCAATAGGTTTAAATATTTATCTCATGAAAAACTTGACATTCGCTCATAGAAATATGTAGGAATGTTTCATCAGAAACATGCACATCTTGGCCTATTTAAGACAGCCATAATATCAACTATTACAGTGTGGTTCTGCATGGTTATAATTTGCATTTCCCCTACCAACAGCGAAATCGAGCTCATCAAGCACTTGGATAATAGTCCTTGCATTTAAATCTGTCTGATATATGTATCTCTGATAGCTCTTGCTCATAATAAGTTAAGAATTTATTTTGGAATTATTAATATATTCAGCATATCATCCATGGCTTACTTTTCAAATCTTTTCATGGAAATTTGATGAATAAAGTTTTAATTTTAATGTAGTCCAAACCATTGGTCTTTTTCTAGAGAATCACACATTTGGTGCTTGTTTTCATAAATACTGAATTATTCTTAGAAATTGATATCTTTTATAAGCTTTATTTTTATCTTCACATTTATATCTAGGATCAATAGTATAGACAGATCACAATTAATTTTTTCCATATAAATATTCCATTCACTATGAGGTTAATCATAAATGATAGTAAATTCCTTCCCTTGTGGCTCATCTTAAAGGAAAGCCCCAGACTTTCACTATTAAGTAATGTTTACTTCAGTTTTTTTTATTAGTTTCTGTTTTTATTTTATCTTATTGTTGTGGTTTGAATGATAAGGATCCCCATAGTCTCATGTGTTGGAAAGTTGGCCCTCGGCTGGTGGGACTGTTTAGAAAGGAGTAGCAGGTGTAAGCTTGCTGAAAGATGTGTGCCACTGGGGGTGGGCCTTGAGGTTTCAAAAACCCATCCTATTCCAGCTCCCCCACCCCCATGGCCTGGTGCTTGTGGATCAGATGCAAGCTCTCAGCTACTTCTCCAGTGCCATATTGGCTTGCCTGCTGCCATGCTCCTCACCGTGATGGTCATGCACTTTACCCTCCAAAACTGCAAGTCCCCAATTAAATTCTTCCTTTTATAAGTTACCTTAGTCATAGTGTTTTTTTTTTGTCACAGCAATAGAATAAGACACAGGTCCTTGATCAGATTAAGAATGTCACCGTCTGGTTTTGGATCAGTGCTGCTCTTAGCCTTCACTGGAGAAGTTTCATTTCTCAATGAATGGTTGTTACTACAGAGACTCATAATTGGCCAGGGCATTGAGAATATATGACTGTCATGTGCTCATGCCCACACAGGACATCTGTATCATCCCCTCCAAGGTTCAGGGGACATCAGAGAAGAGAAAGCAGAGGATGAAGGGGAGCGTTGTGGAATGTTACTTTAACTA